CTCCCTGCGCGTCGGAGGCGGCCAGACCTCGCTCCAAAGCGCAGCGTTCCCCGTGTCAACACATAAAACCAGTATTTAGTCTCCAGTTGGCTACAATCGCTGGACAAACAGACACCGTATGTCTCCACTTACAATGTTATACAAGTACATACACTTACACACATCTGACCCATGTATATGCTAGCTCTTCATCCAAAAGGCTTCCCCACGGTGCTCCGTGCGAGGCCAAACTGGGAAAGGCTCTGCTGCTTCTTCAGGCGCTGCACTGGGTATACACAAAGAATGCCTGGGACAATCTCGCACTGACTACAAGCACGGCAGGGCGCAGTGTCATGTCACAAGTGACAAGCCAGATTGATTGACTAGAGGTTTCCGCAAGTCACTTCATGCTCCATGACGAGGGTTGGTATTCTGTTGGTTTCAGCATCTTCTGAAACAGGCAGCTTACATGCAAAATCGAGCGGCTCTTTCGCCCGTAGAGTGAGGCAGCACCCCAAGTTCCATCGAACCTTTGCTTTTGCCCGAGGCTTTGAAAAACGTGCAACCGTAGAAGTCCAAGAAACGTGTCGCCGGGTGGAACAACAGCTTTCTGAACTCCTAGCCAGACATGCCCCACAAAAACAACAGCCTGCGCGCCGCATGCACGCCCAAGGTGCATCATATATACCATATTCACACATATATATATATTCATAAATATAAATCTGTATATGCATATATGCAGATGCTCGTGTTTGTGTTGTTTTCCTTGCCCTAACTTTGGAAGCTTCCCCGCAAATAGCGTCCTAGAGTGTTGGTGTGGAACAGCTCGCCTTAGCTGCATCTGACAAGCTCCCGGCGGTGTTACAGGATCAGAGAGAATGCGGGGAGCATAGGCAGGAAACGCAAGCGAGCTTCTACAGCCGTGTTTAGTTAAACAAGAATTTGACAAGGTACAGTAAGGGCTCAGTGTAAAAGACCTCTAATCCGCCCAGCATTTGGACGTTTGGATCTAAGCACCCTTCGTGTGGGAAGGATGCACCGCTCCAAGTTTGAACAAGATCGGATTTTTTTTTGAAGATTTCTGGTAGTTTTGGAGGTTTGGCCTGGGAGGTTGTTTGTCCCGGATGGTCCCACCGCGGCGATTTAGCGCTCTTTCTTCGAACTCCAACTCCCTGCCCCCCTCCCCCCCC